TCGCTCGAAGAAGTAATTAGAGCTTCCCTAGATATGGCGATTGGTCACCAAAGACTGCTGCATTAGCTATTAGCTGTCACGTTAGTCTGGTAGGAAGGCGACCCTAAGAAGCATAAGTGCACTAGTTAGAGAGTTAAATGACAGATTTGAAAACAGGCACATACGCTGAGCGCTGAGCAATGCATGACTCCATGAACCACAGATGAAAGCTCGCTCTCAGCTTTGGGCCGTGCGGAGCCATCGTCACGTGTACCTGGTCCGTGGAAAGGCCTGTCACTGCTACAAGGAAGGTTGACAGCCGGCGGGATAACTCGGTCTTTGTGGTCAGTGATTTGTGTCTGTATGTGAGATTGCTGACTGGAGGACCTCTCTCAACTTCAGTTGATAGATCGGCTTAGGCTACAAACTGGTTTAAAGGGAAGAGAAAAGAGCTTGAGGTCGATCTCTAGCTCACTCTCTTCTTTATAAACAATTTTAGGCGCTTTACTCTGCGCTAGAAGCCGTGATTTGGAAGGTTGCCAACTGGTGGAATAACTCAAACCACGCAGTCGGTGCAGTCTGTGTGTGTTCGTGTGGAAGGGTCGACTGGCAGATTGAGTCAGGCTGCAATGGGTCCTTCTTAATGTGGCTTTCGTGGCACTCCGACTAAGAACTACGCGAGCCGCCCTCCTAGTTATGTATACTCTTGGTACTTCACGCGGACCAGGGTGTGGTGGGATGCCTAGGTGCGGGTTCACATTGTGCCAGTCACCTGCGCCCTCTCCCACTTCCGGTCTTTTTGCCTCTGTCATGACACTGGACCCAGGTGGGGGAGAAGGAGAGATTGTACTAGATGGAACCCAAGTCTCATATGATAATAAGATAATTCACTCACCGGTCAACGCCCTTGCACCCACCACTTTGCATGACATACGGTACACCTTTTCGTAATCAACGGTCGAGCAATCACTGATTGGTGCTCTCAGAGTCAGACTCATTGGTTCCTTCTTAGTCTAGTCTCTGCGGAATTCTCACGCATGTGAGATACCCCTCACGCTATTAAAACCCAATTGCATTTCGCGAGGGCCAGGCCGCGTGTGGCCCACTTTTGTGGGTTGTTTAGCTTTGTCATCATCTTCCCGAGCCCACCTCTGGTTGTCTTCAGATTTTCTCGTCCTCGGAGCCATGTGAGTGGGACCGGGCAGAGTGCGATAGATTCTACATAAGTACAGTATTGCGAGTCCTGCAAACAACTTGCCTAAGTTTGTAAATGTTTGATTATTGCTCCCATAGCAGCGAGAACGCATTTACGAAAAACTATAAATAATAATGAGCAGCATTAGGCATATTAAATGCTTAAAAGAACTATAAGAAATACTGAGTGATTGTTAAGAAAAATAAAAAAATTCCGATAAACCCCAAGTTCCGGAGATGTAAAAAATTGCTATTAATTAGAACAATAAATTTAAATATTTTGCTAAGTATAAAACTTAAAGCAACTACTTTCTTTATATAAAAAGAACTTGTCTT